CTCCCAGCCTAGCCACGGATTCAGTAAACAAGTATAGAATTAGTCAATGTTCTTTATGTCTGGACCAAAGGGTAAAGAATAGGATTGCTCCTATTTGGCACATATAATATTTAATGCATCTCATTCCTTTACATTATCCAATTCATTACATAAGAATAGTAGTTTTTAATATCTCAAAATTCTCCAAACCAATTCATCCAAAATGGGTTATCTTTAGAATTAATATTTTCATCTAGTTATAGTTATTATCTTTACATTTAACACTTGCATTTAGGAGTAGTTTCTAGATAAAACATCATTTTAATCGACATTCCAAACTAAGGACTAATTGTAGTAGACTAGAATTTAACTAAGGACCTCTAACCTAGCTTCCTTGTGAGATCGATAAACGGGACTCCACTAGAGCCCTGTATTACTTGAGCGATACGTATACTTGCATTTGAAATTGTGACTTTACAAAATCATTATAAATATATAAATGTGGTTTTATAAATTCTTGCATATTAAAAGTTGCATCAAGTTTTTGGCGCCGTTGTCGGAGATTTAAATCTTCTAGCAACGGTATCAAATTCTTGTATTTTTAAGCATATATAAAGTCGCTGTCAAGTTTTTGGCGCCATTGTCGGGGGTTTAAATCTTCTAGCAGCGATATCAAATTCTTGTATTCTTAAGCATATATAAAGTCGCTGTCAAAAATTTCAAGACTCGACTGGTACCAAAGGGATTTTCACAGCAGAAAGGGATAGATTATGATGAAATCTTTTCCCCCATAGTCAGACATACTTCAATCAGGGTAGTGCTTGCATTAATAGCGATTTTGGATTTACATTTAGAGTAGATGGATGTTAAAACTGCTTTCTTGCATGGTGATCTGGAGGAGCAGATTTACATGGAGCAGCCAGAAGGGTTCACTCAACCTGGAAAGGAGCATCTAGTTTGCAGGTTAAAAAAATTATTGTATGGGTTGAAACAGTCTCCAAGACAATGGTCTCCAAGACAATGGTACAAGTACAAGCGGTTTGACTCCTGCATGATTCAAATTGGCTACAAGAGATGTGAGTATGATTGTTGTGTTTATGTGAAGAGCCTTGATGATCGTTCTATTATTTTTCTGTTAATGTATGTTGATGTTATATTGATTGCTGCAAAGAATATGAATAATGTCTATGATTTGAAAGCTTTATTGAGTCAAGAATTTAACATGAAAGACTTGGGTCCTACGAAGATGATTCTTGGAATGGAGATTCATCGAGACAGAGGCTCAAGACGATTATATTTATCTTAACGAGGCTATGTTGAGAAAGTGTTAGGCAGGTTTAAGATGAGCAAAATAAAGCCTGTAAGCACTCCTTTGGCAAATCATTTTATGCTTTCTTCAGAACAGTGTCCTAAGACAGATATGACAACTGTTTCATATGCCAGTGTAGTTGGCTGCTTGATGTATGCAATGGTATATACTTCTCCTGATTTGGCTCATGTTGTTAGTCAATTCTGCAAATACATGGCTAAACCTGGAAGGCGACATTGGGAAGCAGTCAAGTGGATTTTTAGGTATCTGAAGGGTACTGTAGAACATGAAATTATTTTTGGCAGTCAGCAGAATGATCCTTCAGTTGTGGGGTATGTTGATTCAGACTATGCTGGTGATTTGGATGGAAAAAGGTCTACAACTGGGTATTGTTTACTCTTGGTGGAGAGCCTATATGTTGGAAATCAACAATTCAGTTTATTGTGGCATTATCTACAACTGAAGCTGTGTACATGGTATTAGCTGAAGCTGCTAAAGAAGTCTTATGGCTTGATGGGCTAGTAAAGGAACTGAGCGTTAAGCAAGGTGGAGTTCAGTTACATTGTGACAGTCAAAGCGCTATTTATCTGGCTAAGAACTAAAAGATTAGAGAATTGATTGCTTCTGGGGAGATACTGTTGCAGAAGGTTCGTACTGATGAAAATGCAGCTGATATGTTGACCAAGCCAGTTACTATCAACAAGTTCTTGCATTGCTTGAACTTGTTGAATGTCTGCAGTTGCTAGAGAAGCATGGTGGCCCAACCCACTTATGATATGTAAGGAACTCCATGACATATTTCTCATAAGGGGCTGGATATTCGCCAAGGTGGAGATTTGTTAGATATGGCTCATATACCATAAATGGACAGTGTTAAATCAGGAGCGGAGCAGAGCGGAAGATTCTGTCCAAATCAGGGGACTTTTCTTATGTGGGTTGGGGTTGTGGTACAGAGGTAATTTGGTAATTACATATTGTACACAATATTTTTTTTTATGTTCTTTCTAGGGTTATAAATATGTTTGTATGTAACCCTAGACATAACACCTCATATTTTGTGTTCTGTACTTTTTTGCATTAGTGAAAAGGCCGTCGCTCTGCTCCCGAGGACGTAGACATATTTGTCGAACCTTGTTAAATCTTTGTGTTCTTCTGGATTTGTGTTGTTCTTGTTTTTGTTCGCCCTAAATTTCTCAACAGTATATATATGGCTAAGAATATATATATATATAT